GATCGTTTCCTTTTTCTTCTTTTTTTTTATTTTATTACTACTGGGATCAGTGATGGCTTATGAATTATTTAGTCAGCTTTTCTACTTCGCCTCCAGGGTCACACTGAAGGTCCGCTGCCCCAAAACCTCCTATTATCTCCAGCTGACTGCATTAGTTCCTCCACACTGGAATCCCAAGCTGAGAGCCTCCTGACCTTGCTGATGAAGGAGTTCTAGGGAGCGGGAGTGATGTGACATCATCAAGCAAAAGACAGATTTCAGGTTTTGCTTACCGGCAGCACTATCAAAAGACAGAAAATGCAAACACATCTGTTTTTTTTTCTTCTTCTTCTTTTCACTACAAGTGGGAAATAGCTGTGTGCCATTCACATTACGTTCCAAAAGGAAAAGATTTGTCTCATTTTCAATTTTTATTAAGAACTGAACATTTTTCTCTGGATGGAGGAGATGAATGAATCTTTCATGTCTTTGTGTTTAATGAAACCTTGTCTCTGTCTCACAGTCTGTGTACTTTATCTGCTTTATCGTGCTCGCTTGTTTTTAGATTCCAGTTAGTTTTGCGCTGAGAAAAAGCATTGGCTCTCTTACTGCATTCTGGGGGGTGGGGGGGGTTCTCCATTTTTTAACACTCCAGCATTTCAGAACTAATGTTACCATTAAATCAAGTTTTTACTCCTACTTGCTGAGTAAAAACAGCAAATATGATATTATTATGGCGTATTTTCCATTGTACATAGGAATTCGTACACAGCAAATTCAGAAGTGCCAGATTTCCAGTGCAAGTGTTGTATATTAAAAATACAGTGTTAATTCAACAACATGAGTGTTAGTGAGTGTTAGTTTCCCTAACACTCACTAAAGAGTTCCAAAGTGTTAAACAAAAAGCAATCCAGTCCAGTGTTGATTTCTAAATTAACTCCAACAGTCTAAATCAACATTCAGTCTGGTGTTGATTTAGAAATCAACATCAGACAGTTCCTCCCACAATTGTAAACATATTTGTGACATCACATCAGGGAAGGAGCAACAGATAGGGTAGGAGTCACAGCAGGCCACCAGCCTGGACCTAAAGGGGGCCACATGGGAGGCAGAAAATGCCTTCTGGGATCCAATTTTTTTATAATATCTGATGAGAACTGTAAATGAGAGCCCTCTCCTGACAAAGACTAGGTATGGTACCCCAGTAGGTTATATAGTAGGGTGCCCCATTGTTGACTCATGGTTGCTAAAAACCTTTCCAGACTGACTGATTTTAGTGACATAGTGGGTGTAAAATATTGAATAAAATGTTGTGCTACATTAATGGCTTTATTTTCACTCTTATATTTAACTTTATGACACACAAAACTACAAATTAATCATCCTTATTGTCTCCAGGTGCATTCTGGGTAAAGCTTGTCACCAACGTCATCATCAGTCACTTGGCAACAAATGGCAAACTAGCTAGAGCATTTCTACGGACTACGTTAACATGTTTTGAATTTGTGTTGTTTCATCATTAGTGACCAGTCGCCCGATGTTTCTGTTCTTCTCTTGGTTTGTTGTACTTCATGTCAGACTTCAAAATGACAGAGTCGCTCTCTCTGGTAATGAAACTTGTTAGCTCCGCTGTAGCGGGCATGTCTATGTTGTAAAGTTAAATTATCATGAGCTTTATTATTTGGACCCGGTCATTAGCCCCACCCCACACCGTCTTGTTCCACTACTGCGTCACATGTTTGCCTGAGGAGCGGAGGCAGCAGTATGGCATCTTGTGTGGAGCTTATTATAACAAGGTAAGTTCCATGTTAAAATGACCATGTTTTTGACTATTTTTTATGGAGGCATTATTTTTCCGTTTACACAAGAGTATCAATTCATATACATAATTCACTTAACGTACGTTTATTTGTTTGGATATCACAATATATACGGCTGTTTATTATCTTAACCGAACATTGAAACT